GCACCAAAACCTGGTTCAATGACCGTGGGATTACTGTGCTTGATTGGCCAGCAAACTCGCCTGACCTGAACCCCATAGAGAATCTATGGGGCATTGCCAAGAGAAAGATGAGAGACATGAGACCGAACAATGCAGAAGAGCTGAAGGCCGCTATTAAAGCATCCTGGTCTTCCATAACACCTCAGCAGTGCCACAGGCTGATAGCTTCCATGCCACGCCGCATTGAGGCAGTAATTGCTGCAAAAGGGGCCCAAACCAAGTACTGAGTACATATGCAGCTTCTACTTTTCAGAGGTCCGATATTGTTCTATGTACAATCCGTGTTTTATTGATTGCATGGAATATTCTCATTTTCTGAGATTGTGGATTTGGGGTTTTCATGAGCTGTAAGCCATAATCATCACAATGATGACAAATCACGGCTGGAACTATCTTGCTTTGTATGTAATGAGTCTCATATATTAGTTTCACCTTTTAAGTTGCTGCACTGAAATCAATGAACTTTTGCACCACATTCTAATGTTTCGAGTTTCACGTGTGTGTGTGTGTATATATATTTATATTCATTCAGTCATATCTGACCCTTGGCGATTGCAGGGACCGTCACTCGCAAGCGACTTTTTCCATGAATTCTCTTAGCAATTATTTTACAGAGTAGGTTGCCAGGTCTTTCCCCAACCCCCCACCATGCAGGTTCACACCCATGTGATCCGATTCTGCACATCGCACTGTGTTTTGCGGATCGATTTTGGTATGTTAACGGGGTGCGATTCTGATGCGGTGAGGAATTCGCACAGAAACCGCTGCAAATTCCGCACTGCATCAGTGCGAAAATTAAATTTACATCCTTCTCTCCCCCCCCATGAATTGAGCTTTTTTTCGGTGGTATTTGATCGCCTATGTGGTTTTTTTTTTTTTTTTTTTTTTTTTTTTTTTTTTTTTTGTTTTTTTGTTTTTTTTTGTGCTATAAAAAAAAAAGGCTGACAATTTTGAGAAAAAAAACTATATTAAGGACTTTTTGCTACTAAACATGTCCAGTAAAAATTTTTTAAAAAATCACATTTTGTCATAAATTTAGGCCAAAATGTATTCTGCTCTGTTCTAAAAAAAAAAAAAATTCAAATACAAGTAAATGAATTGGTTTACATGAAAGTTATAGTGTTTACAACTGGCGGTGTAGATACTGGGATTTTATTTTTTATTTTTACTAGTAATGGCGGCGATCAGCGACTTATAGCGGGACAGCGGCGGGCATTCTGACACTGGGGGGGTGGGAACTGACTTGGGGTCACTAACATTCCCAGTGACACCAATACAGTGATCAGTGCTAACAAAAAAAAAAGCACTGACACTGTACTAATGGCACTGGGTGGGAAGGGGTTTAAATCTGGGGAGATCAAAGAGTTAACTGTGTGCAGAGAGTGTTTTACTAGGGGGCGGGGGTATAGGGAGTGTTTTACTAGGGGCGGGAGTGCAGGGAGTGTTTTTTACTAGGGGGCGGGAGTGCAGGGAGTGTTTTTACTAGGGGGCGGGCGTGCAGGGAGTGTTTTTACTAGGGGGCGGGCGTGCAGGGAGTGTTTTTACTAGGGGGCAGGGAGTGGCGTGCAGGGAGTGTTTTTTACTAGGGGGCGGGCGTGCAGGAGTGTTTTTATACTAGGGGGCGGGAGTGTGTTTTACTAGGGGGGGGCGGGAGTGCAGGGAGTGTTTTTACTAGGGGGCGGGAGTGCAGGGAGTGTTTTTACTAGGGGGCGGGAGTGCAGGGAGTGTTTTTACTAGGGGGCGGGAGTGCAGGGGAGTGTTTTTACTAGGGGGCGGGAGTGCAGGGAGTGTTTTTACTAGGGGGCGGGAGTGAGTGCAGGGAGTGTTTTTTACTAGGGGGCGGGAGTGCAGGGAGTGTTTTTACTAGGGGGCGGGAGTGCAGGGAGTGTTTTTACTAGGGGGGGGCGGGAGTGCAGGGAGTGTTTTTACTAGGGGGCGGGAGTGCAGGGAGTGTTTTTACTAGGGGGCGGGAGTGCAGGGAGTGTTTTTACTAGGGGGCGGGAGTGCAGGGAGTGTTTTTACTAGGGGGCTGGAGTGCAGGGAGTGTTTTTACTAGGGGCGGGAGTTCAGGGAGTGTGTTTTTACTAGGGGGCGGGGAGTGCAGGGAGTGTTTTTACTAGGGGGCTGGAGTGCAGGGAGTGTTTTTACTAGGGGGCGGGAGTTCAGGGAGTGTTTTTACTAGGGGGCGGGAGTTCAGGGAGTGTTTTTACTAGGGGGCGGGAGTTCAGGGAGTGTTTTTACTAGGGGGCGGGAGTGCAGGGAGTGTTTTTTACTAGGGGGCGGGAGTGCAGGGAGTGTTTTTACTAGGGGGCGGGAGTGCAGGGAGTGTTTTACTAGGGGGCGGGAGTGTTTTACTAGTGGGCGGGAGTGTTTTACTAGGTGGCGGGAGTGTTTTACTAGGTGGCGGGAGTTTTTACTAGGGGGCGGGAGTGTTTTACTAGGGGGCGGGAGTGTTTTACTAGGGGGCGGGAGTGTTTTACTAGGGGGCGGGAGTGTTTTTACTAGAGGGGCGGGAGTGCAGGGAGTGTTTTTACTAGGGGGCGGGAGTGCAGGGAGTGTTTTTACTAGGGGGGCGGGAGTGCAGGGAGTGTTTTTACTAGGGGGCGGGAGTGCAGGGAGTGTTTTTACTAGGGGGCGGGAGTGCAGGGAGTGTTTTTACTAGGGGGCGGGAGTGCAGGGAGTGTTTTTACTAGGGGGCGGGAGTGCAGGGAGTGTTTTTTTACTAGGGGGCGGGAGTGCAGGGAGTGTTTTTACTAGGGGGCGGGAGTGCAGGGAGTGTTTTTACTAGGGGGCGGGAGTGCAGGGAGTGTTTTTACTAGGGGGCGGGAGTGCAGGGAGTGTTTTTACTAGGGGGCGGGAGTGCAGGGAGTGTTTTTACTAGGGGGCGGAGTACAGGGAGTGTTTTACTAGGGGGCGGGAGTGTTTTTACTAGGGGGCGGGAGTGCAAGGAGTGTTTTTTTACTAGGGGGCGGGAGTACAGGGAGTGTTTTTACTAGGGGGGGGAGTGTTTTTACTAGGGGGCGGGAGTGCAAGGAGTGTTTTTACTAGGGGGCGGGAGTGCAGGGAGTGTTTTTACTAGGGGGCGGGAGTACAGGGAGTGTTTTTACTAGGGGGCGGGAGTGGTTTTACTAGGGGGCGGCGGGAGTGGTTTTACTAGGGGGCGGGAGTGCAAGGAGTGTTTTTACTAGGGGGCGGGAGTGCAGGGAGTGTTTTTACTAGGGGGGCGGGAGTACAGGGAGTGTTTTTACTAGGGGGCGGGAGTACAGGGAGTGTTTTTTACTAGGGGGCGGGAGTACAGGGAGTGTTTTTACTAGGGGGCGGGAGTGTTTTTACTAGGGGGCGGGAGTGTTTTTACTAGGGGGCGGGAGTGTTTTTACTAGGGGGCGGGAGTGCAAGGAGTGTTTTTACTAGGGGGCGGGAGTGCAGGGAGTGTTTTTACAGGGGGCGGGAGTGTTTTTACTAGGGGGCGGGAGTGTTTTTACTAGGGGGCGGGAGTGTTTTTACTAGGGGGCGGGAGTGTTTTACTAGGGGGCGGGAGTGTTTTACTAGGGGGCGGGAGTGTTTTACTAGGGGGCGGGAGTGTTTTACTAGGGGGCGGGAGTGTTTTTACTAGGGGGCGGGAGTGTTTTTACTAGGGGCGGGAGTGTTTTTACTAGGGGGCGGGAGTGCAGGGAGTGTTTTTACTAGGGGGCGGGAGTGCAGGGAGTGTGTTTTTACTAGGGGGCGGGAGTGCAGGGAGTGTTTTTTACTAGGGGGCGGGAGTACAGGGAGTGTTTTTACTAGGGGGCGGGAGTGTTTTTACTAGGGGGGCGGGAGTGCAAGGAGTGTGTTTTTACTAGGGGGCGGGAGTACAGGGAGTGTTTTTACTAGGGGGCGGGAGTACAGGGAGTGTTTTTACTAGGGGGCGGGGGGAGTACAGGGAGTGTTTTTACTAGGGGGCGGGAGTACAGGGAGTGTTTTTACTAGGGGGCGGGAGTACAGGGAGTGTTTTTACTAGGGGGCGGGAGTACAGGGAGTGTTTTTTTACTAGGGGGCGGGAGTACAGGGAGTGTTTTTTTTTTCTTTTCTTTTTTCTTCTTCTAGGGGCGGGAGTGTTTTTACTAGGGAGCTGGAGTGCAGGGAGTGTTTTACTAGGGGGCGGTTAGTACAGGGAGTGTTTTTTCTAGGGGGCGGTGTAAGTGTGCTTCACTGTAATCACACTGCTCTGGATGGCTGTGCTGTGGAAGCTGTTAAAATGAAATCACATCCAATCCATGCAATAAAGGACAGGTAAATGAAGACTAAAAATGCTTGCAACTCTAGAGCTGCTGTCGCCCCAGAATCATGCAGCAGCGTGACATCAACACAGCGTCTCCGCCCCGACATGTTTCGTCCAGTAGGACATCTTTATATTATTATTTGGTTTTGATATTTATGTGCCAAGGCTAAACGGTGGAGATGCATTCAGGATGACGTCGTTTATTTCCGGCAGCAGAAAGAAAGTTGCCCATATTACTGCCGGAACAGAGCGCCACATACTGTGTGTAGCCAACGATGTGACAGTATACTACAGCGCACACGGTGGTTGCACGGTTATGTCGAGAAAATAGTTTGTTTGGGCCAGCTTGGCCCTAACCAACTATTTATAGTCCTAGTAAAGCCGAAATTATACGTTTTTAAAAATTGAGCACCGTGGTTTTTTAATTTTTTATTTATTTTATATATTTTATTGACTTTAATTTGCATTGAGAACTGTATGTAAATTATTTGAAATGGTAGATGGTGCCAGTTTACACAAGTGCCATGTAGATTTTTATCGCATGTTATCACCGCGCGTGCAAAAGTGTGCGCCGGTCTCAGTTTGGAATGTGACCGGAACGTGTCCCTCATCCTCTGAAGTCATTCACTTTTCCGTTTCCATTGTGTAGCGTTCTTTTCAGGCTTCTGTCTGTGGAGTGATAATTCAGCATGTTTTGCTTTGTTCCAGTAGCCGCATCGAGCTGGGGGATGTGACTCCACACAACATAAAACAGTTGAAAAGGCTGAACCAGGTCATCTTCCCAGTCAGCTACAACGACAAATTTTACAAGGACGTCTTGGAAGTCGGGGAGCTTGCAAAACTTGGTACGTGTCCTGGCTTCTTGTTCATATTTTGCCTTTTTAAACCTTTCTAATGAACGTGTCTGAGATCAGAAATCCCCCTCATCAGACTGAGACCATGTGTCCCTGTTTTATATAGGTCAAGGATATCTCCAGGTGAAGGGTGGGATATACTACTTCCAATAATGTGCACCATGCTAGCCATAAAAAATGGAAAGACAGTGATAATATAGACTATACATATTTTTAACCATTTGCCGCCCCCCCCTATGGCCGAATGGCGGCCTGCAAATGTCATCAGCTTTCCGGGTGGACGCCATATGGCGTCCTCCCGCACATGCGCAGATCGCGCTCATGCAGAGCTGCGCAGCGGCACGATCTGTCACCAGCCGTGTACCTCGGACACGGCCGATGACAGATCTGAGTACCAGCCCCCGTTGCCGGTACCATGTGACCAATCACAGTAGGTCACGTGACAGTTGTATACAATGGATGGCTTCATTCATGCCATCCATTGTATAGTAGTCTCTAGCTGTGAATGGTCACAGCAGGTCACATGTCATGTGATTAGCTGTGGCCAAATCGCAGCTAAGCACAAAAAAAAAAAAACAAAAAACCCTGAATGAATCGATGTCATTCAGGTAAATGCTTGCTTATAGTAAAGTAATTCTTTGCTATAAGCAAATTGTGTAAAAAAAAAAAAAAAAAAAAAAAAAACTGATCACTTCCCCAAAGTAGTATAATGTTACTATGGTAACATTGTACTACTTTGGTCATAGTGAAATATGAAAAAAAGAAAAAAAAAAAATAAAAAAAAAATATATATATATTTTTTTTTCATACTGTCACCAGTCAGTGTCCCTGATCACCGCCATGCCAGTTATATGATGACGCTGTACTGCACTGGTGACAGTATGTAAAAAAAAAAATAGTGAAACTAATTTTTTTTAAATTTTCCGAAATATTATGACAAAAAAAATACAACTTCAAAAAACTCGCCATGCCTCTTATGAAGTACGTCGGACTGTCTACTCTGCAAAAAGGGGTCATTTGGGGGATATCTGTACTGTCCTGACATTTGGGGGATATCTGTACTGTCCTGACATTTGGGGGGATATCTGTACTGTCCTGACATTTGGGGGATATCTGTACTGTCCTGACATTTGGGGGGGATATCTGTCCTGTCCTGACATTTGGGGATATCTGTACTGTCCTGACATTTGGGGGATATCTGTAGTGTTCTGACATTTGGGGGATATCTGTACCATTCTGACATTTGGGGGATATCTGTACTGTCCTGACATTTGGGGGATATCTGTACCGTCCTGACATTTGGGGGATATCTGTACCGTCCTGACATTTGGGGGAATATCTGTACTGTTCTGACATTTGGGGAATATCTGTACTGTCCTGACTTTTGGGGGATATCTGTACCGTCCTGACATTTGGGGGATATCTGTCCTGACATTTGGGGGATATCTGTCCTGACATTTGGGGGATATCTGTCCTGTCCTGACATTTGGGGGATATCTGTACCGTCCTGACATTTGGGGGATATCTGTACCGTCCTGACATTTGGGGGATATCTGTACCGTCCTGACATTTGGGGGATATCTGTACCGTTCTGACATTTGGGGGATATCTGTACCGTTCTGACATTTGGGGGATATCTGTACTGTTCTGACATTTGGGGGATATCTGTCCTGACATTTGGGGGATATTTGGGGGATATCTGTCCTGACATTTGGGGATATCTGTCCTGACATTTGGGGGATATCTGTCCTGACATTTGGGGGATATCTGTCCTGACATTTGGGGGATATCTGTCCTGACATTTGGGGGATATCTGTCCTGACATTTGGGGGATATCTGTCCTGTCCTGACATTTGGGGGATATCTGTACTGCCCTGACATTTGGGGGATATCTGTCCTGACATTTGGGGGATATCTGTCCTGACATTTGGGGGATATCTGTACTGCCCTGACATCTGGGGGATATCTGTCCTGTCCTGACATTTGGGGGATATCTGTCCTGTCCTGACATTTGGGGGATATCTGTACTGTCCTGACATTTGGGGGATATCTGTACCGTTCTGACATTTGGGGGATATCTGTACCGTTCTGACATTTGGGGGATATCTGTACCGTTCTGACATTTGGGGGATATCTGTCCTGTCCTGACATTTGGGGGATATCTGTCCTGTCCTGACATTTGGGGGATATCTGTCCCGTTCTGACATTTGGGGGATATCTGTACCGTTCTGACATTTGGGGGATATCTGTACCGTTCTGACATTTGGGGGATATCTGTACCGTTCTGACATTTGGGGGATATCTGTACCGTCCTGACATTTGGGGGATATCTGTACCGTTCTGACATTCTTGGACCTCAAGAAATGAGATTGGCTGTCAGTACTTCAGGATTGATCAATATTCAGATCTATCCCATAGTTTGTGAACTCTATAACTTTCCTACAAACTAAATAATACATCCTAATTTGGGTTATTTTCACCAAAGACATGTAGCAGAATACATCTCGGCCTAAATTTATGAAGAACAATTATTTATTTGCAAACTTTTATAACAGAAACAAAGAAAAACGTGTGTTTTTTTTTTCAAAGTTTTTGGTCTTTTTGTGTTAATTTAGCAAAAAATAAAAACCCCGGCGATGATTAAATACCACCAAAAGAAAGCTCTAGTTGTGTGAAGAAAATGATAAAATTTTAGTTTGGGTACAATGTTGTATGACCGCGCAATTGTCATTCAAAGTGTGAGAGCGCTGAAACCTGAAAAATGGCCTGGGCAGGAAGGGGGTAAAATTGCGATATGGCTTTGCGTTACTTTAACGAACAATTGTGCGGTCATGCAACACTGCACCCAAATTAAATTTACGTCTTTTTTTTTTTTTTTACCCTCGAATTGAGCTTTCTTTCGGTGGTATTTGATCGCCTTTTTGTTTTTTTTTTTGACAGGAATAGTGACCGGGGCATCGCTACTCCTGTCAGTCCAGTGCGGGGAGCTGCGAGGAGAGAGCTGGGAGGTGATACAGGCTGTGTTCTCTCTTCCCTGCCTCCTTCCTGCCACTGTAGCACTCCTGCATTCTTTAGCTGTTTGGAATCTTTGCCCTTGGGCGCTGGATCAGGCAGCCACAGTCTTCAGAAAAAAGCCTCCACCGCTCTTGCAAAGTGCCCCCTTATAGATGAGGCCCATGTTCCTAAAGCAAATCTGTTCCCTTTTCCATTCAGAGAAAAGCGACAGGTTCTTTTAAAAGCCCAAATCTCAAAAAAGGAAAAAAAAAATCAGTAATGCAGGCCATAGATTTCCAACTTTCTTGCCGAATTATCGGCCGATAAAAAAAATCGGCTGATATTCGTGCCGTTAGTGGGAAAAAATGTCGGCCGTTTTTCTTAATTTTAAGAGATTTTGAAAATCGTCTAAGCTGGAAAATCCTGGGACGATTTGTTAGATCGGCCGATTTTCGCGGTAATTTATGGTCAAATCGGCCGTTCTTCTGGCCGATTTGACTATAAATTGACTATGAAGAAAAAGAAGTAATAGAAGAAATAGATTTTGCAGAAGAAGAAGAAATAGAATATCAAGAAGAATAGAAGAGAAGATGAAATAGATTTTGCAGAAGACAGAGAGAAAAATAAAGTTGCAACATTGTATCTATTTGTATGCATTTCGGATACAGATGTTTCTATTCAAGTACAAATAGATACAATGTTGTTTCTCTATTCTGCATAATCTATTTCTTCTGTCAAATATAATAGCGGCTCTCTATGCAGGGACACCGCTATTATATTAATTGATGGCCGTAGACGGGACTAAAACCCGATGACTTTTTTTTTTTTTTTAATTAGTGGCAACGTTGGCCGTCTGAACGACCGATTTACGATTTTTAAAAAAAACAAAAAAAACGTCCGATTTTGCCCACGTCTATGGCCTGCATAAGTGTCTGTTGATGTTTTGTTTGTTGATATCTGGAGGAGATGTTGGCCTACAAGCAATTTGTTGGGGGTGTCCATGATCTGCCGACCCTCCCGAGAGGAGAAAAGGAGGCAAAAGTGTTGGCTTTTTGTTGGTCATATTTCATTGCTTCACCAGGCCCTAATAGGCCCCTTGTACACGGGCATCATAGGTTGCGGGTGTTTACACCCGTGTGCAAGGGGCCAAAAAACGTGTAGTGACCTAAGTAATGTTGAGTATACGTGAGTAAAGGCGTGTAAGCGTGAGGACGAGTGCAATTCTTCTTTGCCAGTATTGTAATGTCACTAACTCTCACTGCCGGGTGCAAGGGGGGCAAATCGAGTAAACACACGAGTAACTTACGGCATTCAAAGAAAAATGTTTTATTTTTTTTTTTTCTACTGCTCTGTAGTCCCCGCTGTTATATCTTTACAATGGTCCATAGACATTAGGGATGCACCGAAATTTCGGTGTCCGAAAACGCCCCTTTCGGCCATCGGCCAATATGAAAAAAAGCACAGATGCAGGTGCCGAAAAAAAACGCTGCCGCCACCAGCCGCCGCGCGGTAGCTCTCAGCCTTATCTGAGAAACCATCGAACGATCCTGGTGCTGGGCATAGAGATGAATGAAGGAAAGATGGCCGCCACTCATCGCTATGCCCTTGGAGGACCGGAGCGATGTCACTTCCGGTTCCGGACATTTTTTTTTTATTTTTCCAATGCTTTACATTGTAGAGGACCCCACATCTCTCCTTAAAGAGGACCTGTCACTAAATATTTCTATTACAAGGGATGCATGCATTTCTTGTGATAAGAATAAAAGTGATTAAACATTTTTTTTTAAAGGGACCGAGCAAAAAGAAACAAACATTAAAAAAAAAAAAAAAAGTTTTAAGTGCCCCGTACCCCCCGTGTTCGCACGTAGTGGTGAATGCATACGTAGGCCACGCCCACATATATAAATGGTGTTCAAACCACACACGTGAGGTATCGCCACGAAAGTCATAGCAAGAGCAATAATTCTCACACTAGACCTCCTCTGTAACTTTACACTGCTAACCCGGAGACATTTTTAAAGCATCACCCATGGAGATTAAGTACCGCGGTTTCACGCCATTCCACAAGCCTGCGCAATTTTAAAGCGCGACATGTTTGGTATCTACTTACTTGCCGTAACATCCTCTTTCATATTTTTAAAAAAAAATATTGGGGTATATATTTTTTTGTTTTGTTTTTTAATCAAAGTGTTTTTTTTTTCCAAAAAAATATATATTCCTTTTTATAAACTGCACATTTTGTTTTTCAGCCACGTGCATTTTGAATTTTCGTTTTCAGCACCAGAATTTTCATTTCGTTGCACCACTAGAATATATTAAACTTGGTTGTACAAGTTGATTACTTTTTTTTTTTTTTTTTTTTTTTTTTCTTCCTATGTCTTCCTTTTTTTTGCTTTTATCTTTTTTTTTTTTTTTTTTTTTTTTTTTTTTTTTTTTGTAACTTGTTTATTTACTCTAGCCTCTTATAATGCATCTGGCAGTTCCTCCATTATTTTTGGAGGCATTTTTTGGAGACATTTTTAAAGCGTCATCCATGGAGATTAAGTACTGCGGTTTCACGCCATTCCACAAGCCTGCGCAATTTTAAAGCGTGACATGTTTGGTATCTACTTACTTGCCGTAACATCCTCTTTCATATTTTATAGAAAAAAATTGGGGTATATATTGCTTTTTTTAATCCAATTGTATATTTTTCCAAAAAATAAATATTAGTTTTTAAAAACTGCGTTTTGGTTTTCGGCACCAGAATTTTCATTTTGGTGCACCACTAATGGACATCAATTCATCTCATTTCAGATTATTATTATATTAGAGAATTTATATAGCCACAACAGTTTGCGCAGCGCTTTACAATATAAAAGGGAGACAGTACAGTTACAGTGCAGTAAAAAAAAAAAAAACGAGGATTAAGAGTGCTCTGCTCATAAGAGCTTACAATCTAATATCCGTAAAAAAAAAAAAAAAAAAATCAGCATTTTTTACTTCTGTGTGCAACAGGCCTTATTGATTTTTCAATACAACCGTCATTATAATGTGAAGATATTTTTGGCCTAATGATCTTCTTCTTTTTTCTTTCCAGCTTATTTCAACGACATTGCAGTGGGAGCAGTATGCTGTAGGGTGGATCACTCCCAGAATCAGAAGAGACTGTACATCATGACCCTGGGGTGCTTGGCACCGTATCGCAGGCTAGGAATAGGTAGGTCTACCGAACGTTTGGGAGTAAAAAACTATTTTGCACAAAAGAAAACAAATTCTGCGGGATAAACCGTTTATCTGATTTAATGCTGATCTACGAACACACCACACATGTGATACAAAAAAAAAAAAATGGATGAATGTTGGTAAAGGTTTGTGTTTTTGTTTTTTGTTTTTTATTTTGTTTTTTTTCTTTTGTTTTTTTTTTTATATATTATTAAGATGTACAAGGTAAGTGAGATCACCAGGACAGGATTATAGAATTTTCAAATAACGCGCAGCGCTTAGATTAAAATATAAAGTACATGAAAGTAATAATTACTGCCAAGCTACTATATGTGTAGTAATACAGTGAAGGAAATGCGTAATTGCTCCCCTACTGATTTTGAATGTTCGCCCCTCACACAGAAATGATCGGTCTAAACATCGAATGTTCGGTGTATTGTAACACTGAGAGACAGAATACAACAAATTCAGCAGAAATGCGTCTAACAAATGATGACGGATCTGCATGTTTATGAGGGAAAGAAGGATTTGATCCCCTATCATTCAGCAGGATTTCTGGCTCCCAGGTGTCTGTCATACAGGTAACAAGCTGAGATTAGAAGCAGTCTCTGAAAGGGAGTACTGGTAATCTCATTGTGTTACCTGTATAAAAGACACCTGTCCACAGGAGCAATCAAACCATCAGATTCCAAACTCTCCACCATGGCAAAGACCAAAGAGCTGTCCAAGGATGTCAGGGACAAGATGGTAGACCTACACAAGGCTGGATTGGGCTACCAAACTATGGCCAAGCAGCTTGGTGAGAAGGTGACAACAGTTGGTGCAATCATTCACAAATGGAAGAAACACAAAACAAGTGTCCGTCTCCCTAGGTCTGGTGCACCATGCAAGATCTCACCTCGTGGAGTGTCAATGATCATGAGAACAGTGAGGAATCATCCCAGAACTACACGTGAGGATCTTGTCAATGATCTCCAGGCAGCTGGGACCGCAATCACCAAGAAAACAATTGGTAACACACTACGCCGACAAGGACTGAAATCCTGCAGTGCCCGCAAGGTCCCTCTGCTCAAGAAAGCACATGTCCAGGCCCGTCTGAAGTCTGCCACTGAACATCTGAATGATGTAGAGGAGGACTGGTGGGAAGTGTTGTGGTCAGAGGAGACCAAAATCCAGCTCTTTGGCCTCAACTCGCCATGAGGAGGAGGAATGCTGCCTATGACCCCAAGAACACCATCCCAACTGTGAAACATGGTGGTGGAAACATTCTGCTTTGGGGGTGTTTTTCTGCTATGGGGACAGGACAACCGCACCACATCAAAGGGACGATGGACGGGGCAATGTACCCTCAAATCTTGGGTGAGAATCTTCTTCCTTCAGCCAGGGCATTGAAAATGGGTGGTGGATGGGTGTTCCAGCATGACAATGACCCAAAACACACGGCCAAGGCAACAAAGGAGCGGCTCAAGAAGAAGCACATTAAGGTCCTGGAGTGGCCTAGCCAGTCTCCAGACATTAATCCGATGGAAAATCTGTGGAGGGAGCTGAAAGTTCGAGTTGCCAAACGTCAGCCACCAAACCTTAATGACTTGGAGAGGATCTGCCAAGAGGAGTGGGCCAAAATCCCTCCTGAGATGTGTGCAAACCTGGGGGCCAACTCCAGGAAACGTCTGACCTCTGTGATTGCCAACAAGGGATTTGCCACCAAGTACTAAGTCATGTTTTGTGAAGGGGATCAAATCCTTCTTTCCCTCATGAACATGCAGATCAGTCATCATTTGTTAGACGCATTTCTGCTGAATTTGTTGTTGTATTCTGTCTCTGTGTTACACCGAACATTCCATTGTTAGACCGATCGTTTCTGTGTGAGGGGCGAACATTCCATTGTTAGACCGATCATTTCTGTGTGGGGGGCGAACATTCAACATCAGCCGGGGAGCAAATACGCATTTCCTTCACTGTATGTATGTTGATAGTTTTTTTTTTTTTTTGTTTTTTTACATTATTAAGATGTACAAGGTAAGTGAGATCACCAGGACAAGATTATAGAATTTGCGAATAAAGTGCAGCGCTTACATGAAAATATAAAGTACATGAAAGTAATAATTCAAAATGTTCATAATAAAATGAATCGAAAGAGGACAGTCCCCGAATGCCGTGATGAGACAGGAAAACAGGTGTCGCCAACCATTTGCATGCGATGACGAGTGGTCAACGCTTTTGTTATGGAACAATCAGAAAGGCAGGTGGAATCTTTCTCTGGATCCCCAAAAGAGTGATGTTGATGGTCCTCCTATGTCAGAGGAGGACTGACCATTTGGAAACTCGGGCACTGGGTTAGTAGGGGGCCCCATGAGATGCCCCTGGTACCTTTTTCATAGGCTTTTTTGAGTTTGGGCAAGGACACAGGGGCCCCATGATCCCCTATTGCCCGGGGGCCCCATGAGTTGTCAGTCCGCCCCTGCCTATGCCAGTCCATAAATAATATGGCTTTAACCGCTCCAGATATATTGTGAGACCAAAGCTTGTGGCATTGAACATGCAAAAGAAGATTGCTCCACATTGTGTAAAATTCTCAATAAAGACGTTTATTATAGGTAAAAGTGCACTCACATGGTATTGGACATGAGTCAGCATGGACAAAGGTAAGATCCAAGTCTTTCCAGCATCCAAGATGGCTGCCTGCCAGTCGCGCGCATGGTAGCATGTGTATGTGGCTCCGCCCTATGTGTTGTCACGAATGACGTCATCAAATATTTTTTCCGGTAAGCCTCGCATGCAAGTGGTTGGTGACACATCAGCTATCCTTGGAAGTTTTCCTGTCTCATCACAGCATTTGGGGAATGTCCTCTCTTTTGATTTGTTATTTTATAGGGCAGCACAGTGGCTAAATGGTTAGCACTTTCACCTGGCAGTACTCGGGTCGTTGGTTCGAATCCCAGCCACGGCACCACCTGCCTGGGGTTTGCATGTTCTCCCTGTGCCTGCGTGGGTTTCCTTCGGGTACTCCGGTTTCCTCCCACACTCCAACGACATGCTGGTAGGTTACTTGGCTCCTGTCTAAATTGTCCCTAGTATGTGTATGTATGAATGGAGTTAGTTAGGGACCTTAGATTGTACACCCCTTGAGGGTCAGGGTCAGGGACTGATGTGAATGTACAATATATATATGTAAAGCGCAGCATAAATTGGCAGCGATATATAAGTACCTGAAATAAAATAAAATAATTCTGAATGAACTGGAGAGCAGAAGCAATCTACAGCAAAAAAAACAATTGAAATATATAACAGTTCATGAAAAGAAGCATTGAAACGGGTTAGGGACCTTAGATTGTACGCCCCTTGAGGGTTAGGGACCTTAGATTGTACGCCCCTTGAGGGTTAGGGACCTTAGATTGTACGCCCCTTGAGGGTTAGGGACCTTAGATTGTACGCCCCTTGAGGGTCAGGGACCTTAGATTGTACCCCTTGAGGGTCAGGGACCTTAGATTGTACGCCCCTTGAGGGTTAGGGACCTTAGATTGTACGCCCCTTGAGGGTCAGGGGACCTTAGATTGTACGCCCCCTTGAGGGTTAGGGACCTTAGATTGTACGCCCCTTGAGGGTTAGGGACCTTAGATTTTACTCCCCTTGAGGGTTAGGGACCTTAGCTTGTACGTCCTTTGAGGGTTAGGGACCTTAGATTGTACGCCCCTTGAGGGTTAGGGACCTTAGATTGTACGCCCCTTGAGGGTTAGGGACCTTAGAGTGTACGCCCCTTGAGGGTTAGGGACCTTAGATTGTACGCCCTTTGGGGGTTAGGGACCTTAGATTGTACGCCCCTTGGGGGTTAGGGACCTTAGATTGCACGCCCCTTGGGGGTTAGGGACCTTAGATTGTACGCCCCTTGGGGGTTAGGGACCTTAGATTGTACGCCCCTTGAGGGTTAGGGACCTTAGATTGTACGCCCCTTGAGGGTTAGGGACCTTAGATTGTACGCCCCTTGAGGGTTAGGGACCTTAGACTGTACGCCCCTTGAGGGTTAGGGACCTTAGATTGTACGCCCCTTGAGGGTTAGGGACCTTAGATTGTACGCCCCTTGAGGGTCAGGGACCTTAGATTGTACGCCCCTTGAGGGTCAGGGACCTTAGATTGTACGCCCCTTGAGGGTTAGGGACCTTAGATTGTACGCCCCTTGAGGGTTAGGGACCTTAGATTGTACGCCCCTTGAGGGTCAGGGACCTTAGATTGTACGCCCCTTGAGGGTCAGGGACCTTAGATTGTACGCCCCTTGAGGGTCAGGGACCTTAGATTGTACGCCCCTTGAGGGTTAGGGACCTTAGATTGTACGCCCCTTGAGGGTCAGGGACCTTAGATTGTACGCCCCTTGAGGGTCAGGGACCTTAGATTGTACGCCCCTTGAGGGTCAGGGACCTTAGATTGTACGCCCCTTGAGGGTCAGGGACCTTAGATTGTACGCCCCTTGAGGGTCAGGGACCTTAGATTGTACGCCCCTTGAGGGTCAGGGACCTTAGATTGTACGCCCCTTGAGGGTTAGGGACCTTAGATTGTACGCCCCTTGAGGGTTAGGGACCTTAGATTGTACGCCCCTTGAGGGTCAGGGACCTTAGATTGTACGCCCCTTGAGGGTCAGGGACCTTAGATTGTACGCCCCTTGAGGGTTAGGGACCTTAGATTGTACGCCCCTTGAGGGTCAGGGACCTTAGATTGTACGCCCCTTGAGGGTCAGGACCTTAGATTGTACGCCCCTTGAGGGTTCAGGGACCTTAGATTGTACGCCCCTTGAGGGTCAGGGACCTTAGATTGTACGCCCCTTGAGGGTCAGGGACCTTAGATTGTACGCCCCTTGAGGGTCAGGGACCTTAGATTGTACGCCCCTTGAGGGTCAGGGACCTTAGATTGTACGCCCCTTGAGGGTCAAGGGACCTTAGATTGTACGCCCCTTGAGGGTCAGGGACCTTAGATTGTACGCCCCTTGAGGGTCAGGGACCTTAG